GAGCAGGGGGCAGGGGCTGAAGCCGGGCCGGCAGCGTGCGGCTGTGCAAGGCAGTAGCTTGGCCTTGGCTGGCCTTTGGCAGCTGTGGCAGCTGCTCCCAGCTCTCCTCCTCCCCGTTCAGCTGCCCGACTCCTTTGGGACGCACCTTTGGCCTCTGGGCCCCGCGGCAGCAGCGTGGGGCTGCACCACAGCATTGTGTTCCACACAGGCTAAGAGCATCCGGAGCCTGAATGAAAGCCTCCTGGAGCTACTGCAGGATGCAGACACAGACACGGTTCAGATGACTCTCTCTGTGTTCATCAATGTGCTGGGCTTGAAAGTCATCGAAATATCCAGCCCAATAGCCCTGAAGTTGCTTGAGGTGCTGCGGCCACTCTTTGACAACGTAAGGCTCTGTGCCCCTCATCGTGGGCACTGAGTGCTGCCAGGAAACTTTGGGCCTAGTGTCTTTTCAGGCCTGTGCCCCGGTGGGCCTGGAGAAGCCAGTGCTGAGGTCTTTTCCTCTTCCTTTGCACCAGGAGCACAGCCAGCTGCAGCAGCTCTCCATGCTCCTCTTCCGGGAGCTGATGGAGGCGACAGAGAGGAGCAAGAGCCTAAAGCCACACGTGTACCTGAGTCTGGTGCCATTCTACTTCAACTGGCACAATGAGAACCAGCGTGTGGCAGAGGTGAGGACTCGTGGGCTCTGGTGTCCCCATGGCAGGAGGCTGCTGTGCCTCCTGCCCTGGCCCATGGTCGCCTGCAGCCTCCTCCTGGCCTTGGCGCAGGGATGCGGGTGCTGTGCCCTGGGCTGCGGTGCCATGGCCCGCTCTCTGTTGCTGTGCAGGCCTCTCGGAGAGCACTGTTTGGTGCAGCCAAGTTCCTGAAGTGGAGGGATCTTGAGACTTGGTGACCATGGAGCAGCCATGGAGGTTTCCCGAGTGCCTGGTAAGGATGGCCCCAAAGCCCCAGCCCCTGGCTCCCCTGGAGCACCCAGCCCTCTGCTCCCCCCAAACCCGGCCCCAGCGGCTGCTGGCCAGGCCTCAGGGCTCTGCGGGCAGGGGAGCCCCGTGCTGGGGGCAGGGAGCGCCCGGCCAAGGGGCAGAGCCTGAGCCGAGCCTTCCCTCCATGCCCTGGCGCTCTTTGCAGCTGGAAAAGGACAGGAGCCGAGTGGGCCAGTACGTGCGCCAGGCCCTGCCGTTCCTGGAGAGCCCAGAGGAGCCCCTGCGAAAGCTGGCCATCAAGTTCCTGGGTGAGCCACAAGGCCGGGGTCCCTCCCCGCCCCGCTGCAGCTCGGCCCCAGCCCCGGCTGCTGCAGCGGCAGCAGGATGCGGCCCAGGGCATGTGGAGCCCCGAGTGGCCTGGTGCCTGCTGCCGCCCTGTGCCAGCCCAGCCCTGGGGCGTCCCCATGCGGGAAGGCCCCGGGCTCAGCCCTGCCAGGGCAGGAGGCCGTGTGGCCGGGCTGGCAGCGCCGCTGCGGGGGACCTGTGCCTCTGGGGCCTGACAGGCTCTGTGTTCCCAGGGATCGCCGCCAGGTCCATGAAGCAGGAGCAGCCAGAGCTGCAGCTCATCTGCCAGGGTGAGCGAGGGCACCTTCCAGCTGATCCCCTTGGGCCCTGCTCCCTCCTGGCCATGGCAAGAGCTGGCTGGGATGGCCCTGGCAGGAGGGGCTCCTCACGTCCCCACACCCCTGGCCTCTCACCTTGGCTCTCTTCCTTTCTCTTTCAGCCCTTCAAGGCATCACTGATGACAGCCCTGCCGTCTCAGACCTGGCCCTTCAAACGCTCCACATCATCAGAGCTGTACGGAGAACTTCATTCTTCCCATTCTGGTAGTCTCCGTTGCTGCCTCTTCCAGCCTGTAGAGACATGACAGAAGACATCAGACTCGCCATGGCAGGCCTGGCAATTCAACACTGCTACGTGCTGAGAGCTGTACAGATGGCTCCCTACTGCAGATTCCAGCAGCTCCAAGACTGGCTGTGCAGGGCGTGGAAGACCCGGCCTTTTCCACAGGGCAGTGTCTGCCTGTGCTGCTGCAGCTCTGTGGGGAACTGATGCAGGAAGCTCCATCTCCTGGGGCCACCTGAGCCTGTGGGGAAGATGCCTCTTCCCTGCAAGCACCTCCTTTGAGCCCAGCATGGGAACATGACCAACATGTTATCACACGCAGAGGCCCAGGAGCTTTTTTTAAGTGCCCAGTGTGCACAGGGCCTTGGGGAAGAGGGGAAAAGGGCTCCCCGTGCTCAGCAACACTTGCCCCGCTGTGCAGCGTGCCAGCAAAAGACCAGCAGGGGAGGGGGCGCTGGGAGGCCAGGAAGGGGTGAGGTGCTGTGGAGGCCCTGATGGGACAAGGGAGCAGGAAGCCTTGAGGGGAATCTGTGAGGGGGTGGGTGGCAGAAGGCTGTGATGGGACATACTGGGAGCAGGCCCCGAGGGGCAGGGTGGAGGGAAAAGCCCCCAGGACTTGGGGGGCAGAGGCCATAAGCAGCCCCCAGGCAGCCACCTCCTTCCCTGCCAGCCGGCTGCTCTGGTGCTTTCCCGAGGCATTCCCAGCCCTGTGGCAGAAGCCCTGGAGGCCAGGCCTCAGCAGCAGGGTGGGCACACCCCCAAGGGGGCCAGGCTGGCCTGGCTGGGGACAAGGAGGGCAAGGGGTCCCTGCCAGGGCACGTCTGCCGGGTGATGCCAGCGAGGGGCAGTGGCACAGGCAGGGCTGGTGGCCAGCCCGGGCCCCCGCGGCTGCCCAGGCCAAGGGGCTGTGGCCAACACCCCCCTGAGCCAGAGCTCTGGGCCCACAGAGCTGCTGCCACCACGGGCAGGGCGCTGGGCTCCTCGGGCAGGCCTGTGCACTCGCTGCTGCCCAAGCGGCTCCGCCCCACAGACAACAGCACCAGAGGCTGCCCAGGAGCAGCAGCACCCACAACGCCTGGGCCTCCTCACCCAGGCACCCACACCCGCCAGGACATCAAAAATGGGCAGACTGTGGGCACAGTTGCACCCGCTTTGGCAAAAGGCTTCAGGGCAAGTGGCCACCACAGCTTTCCAGTGACTCCCCAGCCTCACAGCAACCCTTGGCAGTTCCAGCTGCAGCCTGACATCCTGACTGACTTCAGTGGCCCTGCTTGAGGCTGGACACGCCTTCCACACTCAGGTGTCCCCAGCCAGTGCAACTGGTGCCATCCTTAGAGACTCTGCTGGGACACCAGCCTCAGGCTGCAGCTGCTCAACCTCTCCTCCACCTTCAAAACACGGGCATGGGTTTCTAAACTCTACATCCAGCACTTGAGGGCAACAAAGGAAGAAGCAGAAGCTGAAGCAATACAGGGCCTCGTGTGGTGGATCTTCAGGGATGGAGCTGATGGGGGTTTTGTGCTGCTGTTAATCACTTCCACCCCAAAATCATGCCAGGAAGGAGCAACAGCTTCTGCCTTCTGACAGATGCCAAGTCTTGCCACCAATTGCTCCAGCTGCTGCTCACAACAGCCGCCTGCAAGAGGGCAGACCTCAGTGCCCCTTGGCTTTGGCTGCCCTTTGGCAGAGAAGTCCCCCAGGGGCACAGCTCTTTGGGGCAGGAGACGGGCAGCAGCCTTGCCAGGACTTAGGGTGATGGCAGGTCTCCTTCGGCCAGGACTTACCAGGCTGTCCCTCAAGAATCCCGGGAGCAGGCAGGGAATGCTGAGCAGATCAAGCCCTGCTCAGATGTCCCATCGGGAAGACACTGTTCTAGGGGGAATTCACTGGGTCTACTAACTCTTTCTGACTGGCTTAATGACTCAGCCATGGTGTGTCCCTGTCACTCAGATGCCTTCTTGGCCCCACCTGACGTTGTGATTCGTGTGACTGACAATACCTTTAACATCCCTGTAAGTGATCCTTGTTATTTTAGTTGTAGCACAGATCAAAATGTATCTACCCTCCATTTATCATTAATAATTCCCATGGGCAGAAGCGCCACACTGTGGCTCCCAGGGAAGCAGAAGCTGGGAGGATGATGCAGGATACAGTGAATTAAGGAAACTGTGAAATGCAGAAATCCTCAGTGGATGGGTGACTGCTCGGATCATCTCTGCAGCAATCCCGGCAGCTGCCGCAGCCACGGCTCCTGCTGCACTGGCCATTCAGTGCAGGCCATGCCTGCAGTGCCAGTGTGTGGGCACTGTGGCAGCATCAGGAGCAGGGGTTCAGAATCTGTCTGGTTTCAATATTCCATGTGCTCTGGAAGCACATGGGACAAGCCCCAAGACAAGGAGCCCGGGTCCTGGCCCTCTTGGCCGTGAACTCTGAGTGTCCAAACAAAACAGGGGCAGAGGTGGGACCAAGCGGAGTCACTCTGCACCTGCCCTAAGTTCATGGGAATGCAAAGGGAGGATGAACCTTGGCTGAGTGCTTGGAGAGAGAGAAGGTTGTTTCTCCAAGTGGAAATGCACTTGAACCAGCCTGCATGACCAGCCTGTGTTTTTCTCTGGTGGCTGAACACAGGCAGCACATGAGGGGAGGGGAATGTGTGGGATCAGGGCACTGCTTTGGGGCCATGCTGGGAACTCTGGTGGACTAAAAGACATACACTGAGTGCTGCTCATGAGAGAAGAGGAATAAAAGGGGACACGGAAAAATGTCGGCGGACAAGTCCCGCAATGGAACTCTAAGTGTGCAGCCTCATTTTCTCCCTCAGCATCCACAAGAGAGGAGGCAAAAAGTAGTGTTTGGGACCCCAAAACTTTCTTGGGGGGGGAAACTGGGGATTGAGGGAACAATGGGAAAGTGGGAGGAACAGGGAGAAGGGTAGAAAAGGGGGGATTGTCTGGTAGGTCCGATGGCCCCATGGGGGTCTTTGGGCACAGGAGGGGTTGGAAAAGAGGGGGTGCCCCCCTGAGCTCCCAACTTACTGTGAGGTGCTGGGGGCTGCTGAATCCAATCTCAGAGTTGGATTACGCCAACAGTTTCAGTTTAGAGGAATTACAGAGGTGTGACTGAACCACTTTTGTCCCCCAACTTTTAACGATGGCAAATCAGATCTATTGATAAAAAGGAATTTATTTAGGGTTCCAAATGATCAAACAAAGGATCTTCATCAGAATTATTTACTGCACAATACAAACACTAAAACTACCAGGAGTACAGGATAAGATAAGACAGTGTTCTACCCTAAAGAAATTGTTGAAGAAATTCTACTAAGTTTGGCTTAAAAGCAATAGTTCTTAATTTGAGATGGATGTAACTCCCCCTCCAGCAGTGACCTTGGTGGGGCCCCAGCCAAGGCAGGAAACTCCACACACCCCCAAGAAGGGTTCTGTTGGAAGAACCTACCCCTGTGAAAGGGGTTGAAAGGGATGGACTGACAGTCACTGGACTCCAGGGGTTGCCTCAACATCAGGGGTTTATTCAGGGTGGAAGCAGCGGCTGAAGCTCTTCCCACAGTCGGGGCAATTGTAGGGCTTCCCTTACTGGTGGGTCTGTTGGTGTCTGTTCAAGGTTGAGCTGTGGGAGAAGCTCTTCCCACACTCCCCACACTTGTAGGGCCTCTCACCGGTGTGGATGTGCCGGTGGGTGATGAGGTGGGAGTTGCGGTTGAAGCCCTTCCCGCAGTCGGTGCAGCGGAAGGGCCTCTCATCCGTGTGTGTCCGCTGGTGCACAAGGAGATTGGAGCTGGTCTGAAACCTCTTCCCACATTCCAAGCACATGTAGGGCTGTTCCCCAGAGTGGATGCGCTGGTGTCGGATCAGGTCAGAGCTGTCCCTGAAACTATTCCCACATTCCCCACACCAGTAGGGTCTTTCCCCAGTGTGGATGCGCTGGTGTCGGATCAGGCTGGAGCTGTCCCTGAAGCTCTTCCCACATACCCTACATGTGTAGGGCCGTTCCCCAGTGTGGATGTGCTGGTGGGTGAGGAGGTTGGAGCTTTTCCTGAAGCTCTTCCCACATTCCAAGCACCTGAAGGGCTTCTCCCTGCTTGGAGGCTGCTCAGGGACCACCAGGTCATTGCTCTGGTTCAAGCTCTGGCCACCTTCCCAGCACAGGCTGGCTCTTTCCTCCTCAGAGCACCCTGGGCTGGCTTTGGAGCCCCTCCTGCGGGGGGATCTCCGGCCCTTTTCCTCCCCGCTGCCTTCCTGCGCCGGGGAGCCCTTCAAAACGGCCTCTCCCACCAGGCTCTCACGGGGGGATTTGTCCTCCGGGCTCTCCGTCCTCAGCTCGGGGCCTGGGGCAGGAAGCAAGAAGGACAGGCAGGGGATTTGCCTCCGGCCCACAGGGAAGGCCAAGGACATCCCCCCAACTCCGGCCCCGGCAGGACGGCGGCGCCAGCGGGGTTGTCCTGCAGCCGGGGCCATGCTGGGCTGACAGAGCCAGCACAACACCCGCCCAAAGGGACACTGACTTCCTCCTCACCTGCCTGGGGGGCCCAAGGCATCTTCCTCTTCCTCGCAGCCTCCTCCTCCATCCGCCCAAGCTTTGGGAAGGACAAATCCTGATGGGGGGGAAAACAAGGGCTGAGCGCGTTGGCTTGGGGGTTCCTCCTGCCCAAATCCATCTCTAGAACTCACCGGGCATCCTGTGTCCATAAAAACCTCCAAAACACCAAGATTCAGCCCAGAAAAACCAAACCACACAGATTCAGGCAAAAAACCCCTCAGAAATAGCAAGATGAACTCCATCCAAAAAGCAAAAAGTTAAGGTTCAGCCAAAAAATACTCCAAACTATGAACATTCAGCCCAAAAAAACTCTCGCAGTAATTCCCCCTCTCTGGTCTCTCCTCTGTGGGGTTTGGAGGGTCTCCTGTGTCTGGGATGCTGGGGGTCCCACTTAGGAATGCTGAGAGTGTTGGGGGTCCTAAGGGTCCCTTCTCCTCTGACTCTCACCTTCGGGGTGCCACATTCCCAGACATTCCCCCTCTCCAGGTTCTCCACTTCATTGTCCCAGGGATCCCAGGGGTCCCCACTGTCCAGGCTTCCCCTTCCCCATGCTCCCCCTTTCAGGCTCCCGGGGATCCCAGGGCTCCTCCCTCTCCGTGCTCCCCCCTCCAGGCTCCCGGGGGTCCCCCAGCTCCGCCATCTCCCCGCTCCGCCCTCCACACTCGGCAGCTCCCGGGCTCCACACCCGCCCCCGGCACTCCGGGGGCCCCAAACCCGCTGTGTCTCCCCCCCGCCGACCGGGCTGACAATGGAGCCGGCGGGGCCGACCAGCACACCAACCCCCACCGATGGGGGGGACCCGCTCCCCCACCACCGCCAGGGCTCTGCCCCCAAAACCCAAGCCGGCCACCCCCAAAAAACACCTCCTGCCCACCCCCAAGAGCCCCCAAGGGCACAGCCCTGCACAAGGGCCGGCTGTGCCCAAGGAAACCAAACAGCCCCACAGGCAGGGGGACACCAGAGGCTGCCCCAGGGCAACGAGAGCAGGGAGCAGATCGGGTCCCCTGACACGTGGGTGGGCTCTGGGTTCAGCCTGACCAGGGGCAATTTGGCACCAACAGCACGGCCCTGACCACTGGCTCGGCACAGGGGGCCCGAGCTCCCCCCTCTCTCCAGCCTTCACCGCTCTCCAGGGATCAAGGCATGGGGACACAGAGGGACTCCCATGGTAACCCCACTCCTGCTCTCCCCTATCCCCTTAGCTCACCTGTCCCATCCCCTTCCTGGGCTGTTCCCTGGTGTGGATGCGCTGGTGTCCGATCAGGTGGGAGCTCTGTCTGAAGCACTTTCCACAATCCTCACATATGTATGGACGTTCCCCACTGTGGATGTGCTGGTGGCTGAGGAGGTGGGAGCTCTTCCTGAAGCTCTTCCCACATTCCAAGCACTTGTAGGGCCGTTCCCCAGTGTGGATGCGTTGGTGGGAGTGAAGGGAGGAGTTGTCAGTGAAGCTCTTCCCACATTCCCCACACTTGTAGGGCCGTTCCCCGGTATGGATGCGTTGGTGGGTGTGGAGGGTGGAGCTGTCACTGAAGCTCTTCCCACATTCCCTACACACATAGGGCCGTTCCCCAGTGTGGATATGCTGGTGGATGTGGAGGTTGGAGCTCTGCCTGAAGCTCTTCCCGCATTCCCCACACGTGTAGGGCCGTGCCCCACTGTGGATGTGCTGGTGTCTGAGCAGGCTGGTGCTGTGGCTGAAGCACTTCCCACATTCCAAGCACTTGAAGGGTTTCTCCCTGATGGGAGGCTGATCAGGGACCACCAGCTCAGAGCTCCCCCTCAAGCTCCGGCCGCCTTCCTGGCACAGGCTGGCTCTTTCCTCCTCAGAGCACCCTGGGCTGGCTTTGGAGCCCCTCCTGCGGGGGGATCTCCGGCCCTTTTCCTCCCCGCTGCCTTCCTGCGCCGGGGAGCCCTTCAAAACGGCCTCTCCCACCAGGGTCTCACGGGGGGATTTGTCCTCCGCGCTCTCCGTCCTCAGCTCGGGGCCTGGGGCAGGAAGCAAGAAGGACAGGCAGGGGATTTGCCTCCGGCCCACAGGGAAGGCCAAGGACATCCCCCCAACTCCGGCCCCGGCAGGACGGCGGCGCCAGCGGGGTTGTCCTGCAGCCGGGGCCATGCTGGGCTGACAGAGCCAGCACAACACCCGCCCAAAGGGACACTGACTTCCTCCTCACCTGCCTGGGGGGCCCAAGGCATCTTCCTCTTCCTCGCAGCCTCCTCCTCCATCCGCCCAAGCTTTGGGAAGGACAAATCCTGATGGGGGGGAAGCAAGGGCTGAGCGCGTTGGCTTGGGGGTTCCTCCTGCCCAAGTCCATCTCTACAACTCACCAGGCATCCTGTGTCCATAAAAACCTCCAAAACACCAAGATCCAGCCCAGAAAAACCCAAACCACACAGATTCAGGAAAAAAAACGCTCAGAAATAGCAAGATGAACTCCATCCAAAAAGCAAAATGTTAAGGTTCAGCCAAAAAATACTCCAAACTATGAACATTCAGCCCAAAAACTCTCGCAGGAATTCCCCCTCTCTGGTCTCTCCTCTGTGGGGTTTGGAGGGTCTCCTGTGTCTGGGATGCTGGGTCCCACTTAGGAATACTGAGAGTGTTGGGGGTCCTAAGGGTTCCTTCTCCTCTGACTCTCACCTTCAGGGTACCACGTTCCTAAACATTCCCCCTCTCCAGGTTCTCCACTTCATTGTCCCAGGGATCCCAGGGGTCCCCACTGTCCAGGCTTCCCCTTCTCCATCCTCCCTTTCAGGCTCCAGGGGGTCCCGGGGCTCCTCCCTCTCCATGCTCCCCCCTCCAGGCTCCCGGGGGTCCCCCAGCTCCAGCATCGCCCCGCTCCGCCCTCCACAAGGGCCGGCTGTGCCCAAGGAAACCAAACAGCTCCACAGGTGTTGGCTGGGGGGATGTGAGGGCTGGGCCTGCTCAGCACAGCCCCGGCCTCGTGCCCAGCGCCTCTTTCCTGACCCACACAAGAGCTTCCCGGCCCCCCCAGGGCTCCCCTGCTGCTGCCTCTGCTCCTGGCCCTGCCTTTGCTGCTCCCTTGCCTGGGGCAGCGGCTGCAGGGGGGGATGGCAGCAGCTTCAGCTCCACGGCACTTCCTGGGGGGAGCTCAGCCCGGGGGGGACGGGCAGGGACCTGATGGGGATGGACAGGGGCCCAGCAGGGACAGCCAGGGCCTGCAGGGGAAGGCACAGGGACAACCTGGCCCCCCACACTGCCAGGGCTGTCTCTGCTCCTCCTTGCAGGCTCCGTGGCCAGGCACAGTTTGTGTTCCTGGGTGCCCACCATCTCAGCACTTGGAGACGCTCAAATCAGCGCCCGCAGCTCTGCAGCAAAGCCCCAGCTCACCTGGCACACAGGGGATGGACACAGCACCTGCTCGGGGATGGGCACTCACAGCTTTGTTTCTTCCCCACCACAGGGCTCTCCTTCCTCAGCAGCACCTCTGCCTTGCACTTATTCTCAGCCTCACCTCAGGGACAGCTCTGGGCTCACCTCCGCGCCACTTCTCAGCCTCACCTCAGGGCCTGGGCTCAAGGACAGGAACCTGCAGGGAGGGGACATCAGGTGCAAGCTGAGGGCTGCCTGCTTGCACTGGCCTCTGGGCTTCTTTCTCCTTCTACAACCAGGCCTCTGGGCTTCTTTCTCCTTCTACAACCAGCCCACAACTTAGCCTGCTTTGCTAACACCACACATTTACAGACTAACCTTGGAGATAGATATGGACAGACATCTCTATCACCCTGGGGATGGAGCCTCAAGCATGTGCTGCCACAGGAATGGCAATCAGAGAATCACAGAATCAGCCACGTTGGAAAAGACCTCTGAGATCATCAAGTCCAACCCTGGATCCAACCCCGCTGTGCTTCCCAGACCATGGCACTGAGGCCACATCCACTCTCACCTTCAACACCTCCAGGGACGCTGAGTGCCCTCCCAGCACAGCCCAGTGCCCCCAGTACAGCCCACTGTGTTCCTGTCCCAGGGTGCCGGGTGATCCCTCTTGGGGTGGAGTTGGAAGGGATTTGGCGGGGGGGGCTCGGTGAGATTTGGGGGGATCTGGGGAGTTTGGGTGGGGATTTGGGGGTCTTGGAGGCATTGGGGGTCAAAGGGATCTGTGTGTGGAGGGGATTAAAAGGAAAATGGGGGTTAGGGAACATTTGGGAGGGGTTAATAGAGCCTGGGGTGGGAGAGGAGGGGCTGCACCAGAAGCAGGTGAACCCTGAGATCCCCCCTGGTGTCCCCAAGACCATCTTGGTGTCCCTAATTCCCCTCTTGACACAAGAAGATAACCCAGGTGTCTCCAGCATCCCCAGGGCCTCTCCATGGCCATTATTCCCTCCTTGACACCCCCAATTCCACTGTCCCCAAACCCCATCCCTAATGTCCCCAACCCTCCATCTCACCCCAGGAGCCCCCCCATTGGACCCTATGACCCCAAAACCGCCCCCCCACACACACTCACAGAAAGGCCAAGGGCATCTGGGGACACGTTGGGGACAGTTGAGGGGATTTGGGGGGCACTGGGTGATTACTGGGACACACTGGGGGGAACCAGGGGGCACTGGGAGGGACTGGAAGGTTACTGAGGGATGCTGGGAGGGCACTGGGAGGGACTGGGAAGGTACTGGGGGATTACCAGGACACAAGGGGAGACACAGACAGGTTACTGGGCAATACTGGGGGATCACTGGGCCATACTGGGTGGCAGTGGGAGGTCACTGGGACACACTGGCTGGTCACTGAGGGGGTTACTGGGCCATACTGAGAGTCACTGGGCGATACTGGGGGCACTGGGATCCCCTTACTCGGTTCTGCTACATCTCCCCCCTGCATTTTGGGGGGCACCCACAGGACCCCTCCCCTGAGGGCTGGGAGATCCCCTGAACCCCACTGCTGGGATTTAGGGGACCCCCGACCCCCCCTCCCTTTGGGGTCTCTGTGTGCTGAGTTTTGGGGGTCTCTGGGGTTTGGGGGGAATTGGGATCCCCTTTCCCTGGGGTCGGTCCACTGACACAGAGACCCCATAAAATCCCCTCAAAACCCCTGAAATCCCCTCAGAAATCCACCTCTGGACCCATCAAAACCTCCTTAAAGACCCCGCAAATCCCCTCAGAGACCTCATCCCCCTCCAGGACCCCCTAAACCCTCTCAGTGACCTGCAAAACCCACTTGGGACCCCCCAGGTCCTTTCAGGGACCCCAAAAACCCCCTCAGGGACCCTCAAAACCGCCTGGGACTTCTGAAATCCCTCTAGAAACCCACAAAACTGCTTCAAAGACACCCCCTGCAAGCCCCCCAGGACCTCTGAATTCCCTCGGAGACTCCAAAACTCCCTCAGGGATTCCCAAACCCCTTCAAGGACCTTCAACCTCCCCCTAAGTCCCCCCAGGAAACCAAACCCCCTCAGAGACCCTCAAAAACCTCCTTAGGGACCCCTAAAAGCCCCTAAGGGACCACAAAAACACAGAACAGCAGAAGAACTTTCTGTAAAGGAGGGCAGCAAAGAATCTGAGAAGGAGGAGAACAAGGAAAAACCGAACCAAAGCAATAAAATCATCCTGACCCTTGCAGTTTTTCCTTCACCTTTTTCTCACTTTTCCTTTTTTCAGGGTTCTGTTTTTCGTTGGGTGGTTCTGATTTTTTTTTCCGAGGGACTTTCTCGGCAATCGAATCGAACATCCGGGTTCTTGGGAGACCCCCGGGCCCCGCGGCCCCCGAGACGGTTCCAAGGCCCTGCGCTCTGACCCTCGAGAACCCCCGAACCTCCGCGCTAAACCCTCCCGAGCCCTCCAGCCCTTCCACCCACGGCCGCGCTCCCCGCAGCCCCCGAGGGGATCCCCAGACCCCGCTCTCCCGCACCCCCCGCCAGCTCTCACAGACAAAGGCAGGACCCGCCGCCATCACCGATTCCCGCTCTGCGCGCGCACCGCCTTTAGAGAACACCGCCGCAGCCAATCAGCGCGCGGTCACGCCCCCGTACACCCGCCACTGCGCCTGCGCCTTGCGCGAGGCAGCACGGGAGTTGTAGTCCTTGCGGCGGATCATTGCGGCCATTTGCACGTGAGTGGAGTGAGGATAATACTTTTTTGGTTTTATTTTTTTTCTGTCTTTTCTTTTCCTTCTGTTTTCTCTTTCTTTTTTCCTTTTCTTTTTTTATTTCTGCTTCCTTTTTTCCTCTTTTTTCGTTCTCGTTTTCTTTTTTCTCTTTTTTCTTGTTTCTTTCTTTTTTATTATTTGTCTCATTTTTTCCTGTTTTTCTGTCTTTTTTTTCTCTTTTTTCTCCTTTTTCTCTTTTTCCTCCCCTTTTTTCTTCGTATGACCTTTTTGTCTTTTTTTTTCTTTTTCCTTTTTTTTTACATTGTTTTCTATCAGTGGTATTTTCAAGGAAGATTTAAACACAGATCAAAACAATCTCCAGGTACAAATCTCATGACAACAGATAATCTACCATTGTTCCTGGTCCAAGAGGATTCCCAAGATCACAAACACTGAGATGTGAAGGGTGCTCACACAAAAAACATCTTTCCCTGCTTTTTTCCACAGGTAAAGCAAGTGTGGAAGGGGCACTTGGCCCCAGGCAAGAGGCTTTTACAGCCACTTTAGGCAGCCCAGAGTGGATCTGCCTGGCAAATGGGATTATGATTATGCTTTCAGGGACTATTTCCACAGTACATTGAGGGAAAACATTGAGGGCCATTTCTTCATCTCCAGAAGGGATGAGAAGAGGGGGGAGCAGGTGCTGTGGCCCCAGAGCTTCTCTCTGCTTTGGGGACACTTCTGTGTTTTCCTCTGTCCATTGAATTCCCAACAAAGAAGGAAAAAGCTACAGGAACTCCAGTCTGGAGTGCTCAGGACATGTGGAAGCAGGGGAATTTTTCTTCCCAGCTGGGACTGAGAGTGCAATTTCACACTCCTTTGGAGAGCATTGACTAAGACATCCCATTTCTGCCCAGGGATCTTCCAGGGGGAACTCAATCCGGGCTCTGGGCAGGTCCCTGCAGGGGCAGCAGCTTCCTCTGCACATTTGAGGGGATAAAGCTGCTCTAACCCTGCACTCCAACTACTCCACAGCAATTTAGGACCTCTGAGGACAGTTCTCCACTGTTTCCACCCCAGCAGAGACCTGAACACATCCCGTGGGCACTATGTGACCACCCCTGGCATTAACACCCTGCAGAGATGAAGACACTGACTGTAAAGACACTTGTCTACCTGGAAACCTCCACTTTCTTTGCTACTATACAGCAATAACATTTTCTATTCATATTGCAGCTACAGACCTAACAAATAGAATTGCATATATTGTGCTTTAGAAATTAAAATGCATTCCAAAGTCAGGCAATGCTAAACAATGAAAGTCTTGAACCCTCCCCCCCAAACCAGCCCCACTTTCTGGTTTCACAACCAGCCCACTTCCTCACTCTTCACAAAGGGAGAAACTCTCTCTCTACACCTCTGAAACAAAAATTCCCTCCCCAAAAGTGATCAGAAAGAGTCTACTTAGGCACTACTGCAAATGGAAGTTGTCTAATAACCATTCCTTCTAACTCAGGAAGGGGAGGAGGTGAAGAAAGTCACAACAAATGTTTGGATTCCTTCCTCTTTGACGTCTTCTCTTCCCTGTCTGACGCTCTGGGACATGTGCAGGGGGGTCAGCATCTCTTCAAAGATGGCTCCTTTCACATCAGAGCCCCTCAAATTGGCTTCCTGGAGGTCACAACCTGATAGGTCACAATTCTGAAGGGGAAAAGAAAAAGAAGTCAATGGAATGCACCCAGAACTCTGTTCAAAGCTTTACTTGCAGTACATTTACCTGAACTCCATTGTACTCTGAAGCTGGAGAGCTCAGCCAAAAGCCAGCAATCCCCCAAATTACCAGCTGACTATAGGAGAGAAAGGAATAGGATGGAAAATGAATCCCAACTCACTTCCAAATCAGTTCCTGCCAACGTTGCTCCCCTGAGGTTACAGTTCTTTAGTTTGGCATTTCTCAGCGTTGCAACTCGGAGGTTCATTCCTGTCATCTGACTGCCCTCCATGGCCACTCCTTTCAGGCTGGCACCTGGAACACACACAGAAAGGGGTTCTGTGAGGAAAACCAGTCAGGAACACAGCAGCTGCACACTGGTGCTGCCTCAGAGCTGTGTGAATTGGAGGAGGACAAGGGGATTTGGGGCTGAGATGGTCACAGACTCAGTGCAGCCCTTGTGGGCCCTTCTCAGGGTTGGACAAACCACAGCTGGACCTTTTCTGGGCCATAGAAATGCACAAACACAGGCTTCAGCTTAACAGGTCAGCCCTCTCCAGGCTGGCACAGCACAGGTTGTCACGGGCCAGGTTGCAGCAGCACAGATTGGACACCTTGAAGCTGATGTAGCAAAGATCCAGGTGGGAAAGATTCGCTCCACTGTAACTGAGATCCTGGAAATCCCAAGGAATAAATCCCCCAAAAAGGTTACACAGGGGAAGGGGTAGGTCTGGACACAAAGTTAATATTGTTGTGTGCATTAATATTTACAATGTATAAATATTTAGGTAGAAATATATGGATATAAATGTATTAAAATATATACTGTCTGTAAATATAGACAGATACAAGATAGATACAGACACACACAGGTCCTGGGAGGAGCTGAAGACACCCCACCAGGGAAGGGGGCTTATAAAAAGGAGGGAGAGGGACTTTTGATATGGGCCTGGAGGCACAGGACAAGGGGTAATGGTTTTTAGACTGAAAGAGGGCAGGGTTAGATGGGAGACTGGGAAGAAATCCTTCCCTGTGAGGGTGGGGACGGGCAGGGATGGAATTCCCAGAGAAGCTGTGGCTGCCCCTGGATCCCTGCAAGTGTCCAAGGACAGCTTGGATCAACCTGCTCTAGTGGAAGGTGTCCCTGCCCATGGCAGGGGGTGGAATGAGAAGACCTTTAAGGTCCCTTCCAACCCAAACCAGTCCATGATTCTATACAGACAAATACACACAAGACCATTTATTCTACTACTTAAGACTAATGAAACCTAAATGCAAAGCTCTCAAAAATTGTCCTTGGTTCATTTTACATTTAAACAAATTGCTCCTCCAGGAAAGCTTCCCCCTAAAGCAGGAATGCAGCCCAAACCACCCTGGAATTCCAAGCCAAGGTCACTGTGCCACAGCTCAGAATCCAAACTCACTTAAAGAGAACACATTGTTTGCATTTCACGTTGCCACATTCCAGCACCAGGCACCAACACTCCAGAGTGGGACAGCACAGGGGGCAGTGGTTTTAATAGAAAAGAGGGAGGTTTAGATGAGATATTGGGAAGAAATTCCCAGAATTTTGTTAGAAAGAGAAATGTGTTCTCACCTGGAAAAGCTTGTTTGCAGCTAAAAGGAAAAAATCACTCAACCAGGATGTTTGCAACACCAGCATTGGGTTAAAGGTATCAGCTCCAGAATTCCAGCCAAACATGACTCCAGGATGGACAACTTTTAATGCTCCCAAGATAAACAAATAACCTGTCTTCTGTAAATCAAGAAACACCTTCATTAAATCAAGCAACACCTCCATTAAATCAAGCAACGTGGAACTGTAATGCTGTAAGAGGGGTACTTTTGAATTAGGTGATCAATGGAGCATAGAGGCATGAGAAAGAAACTATATTAGGATGTGAAACCAGCCAGAGTATTGTACAATGTAACTTTATGGCACAAGTGAACTGAAAGGTCCATTGTGTTTCTTAACAAGTCAACGAGATGTCCCCCATGATCAGAGCTGAGTTCCTCCTTGGCTTGGCCCCATTCTGCAAGATGGACATAAAAACCTTTGAAATACAGTGGGAGAGGTCGTCCACAGGGGTGAGAAAGATGATGGTGAGAGGAAGATTCTGTGGGCAGGGGTCACTGGCCCCTTGCCCTACAGCAGGGCATGCACAGACTGTTGCTATCAGGTGATGAACAGGCAGGGTTTGGC